ATTAATTTTTAGTTAATTAGCAGTTTCTCATGGCTTAGCAACTTATTTAGTAATAGATAATGTCGATGTCATCTCTCGCAGCGCCGTTCCGTAATGATCTTTGTTGGGCTGTGTGCAGTATATCGCTGCTATCGTGCACTGGCCTATGTATGATTCTTCCCCATTCATCTTAATAATTTTTGTATTTTTATTACTGGTGATATTATTAGTGGTCTTATGATCAACCATATCTTCATATAGAACTTATATAAATAAAGATTATATATAATTATATACTATATCTAATACTTCATTGTTATCATGTACCATGAATATCATTAGTTTTCCTATCTTTTCACCGCCTATATCTTCTCTGCGCGTTCTGGGGGGCAGCAAACAAACGAGATTGGATTTCGGCCAGCCGACCAGTTCTAAGAAATATTTACTATTTTTGTACCCACTGTCATGTTTGCTGCCACTTTACTTTTTCATCATTAATCATCACAGGTTATAACATTTTTTTTCCAGGCAGCTGGGAAGTACGTTGTGTCTCCCCTTTATTTTTTTGAGCTGATCATTATGTACGAACGAGAACAGAAATGGCCTTTCCATTGTTCCTTGAATATCTTCCCTGTTCTGAGATTTTCCTGATGAATAATGGACACGTCGGTAAAAGGTGTCACGAATATTTCCCATTCAGACAAACACGAAGACCTCAGACAGACTCTGAAACATGCACGTACGTACACTTCGTTCGTTCAATATATATATATATATATATATATATATATAGCCTTGATTTTATTCTTTACTTGCAACAGATTGGGTTTCGGTGTGTGTAATTGACTTACTTATTTATTCTGTATTTTCTATCTAAAAACTTACGAATTTTGATTATTGTCATCTTAGTATACAGACGCTTTGAATAACCCTGTTCTACATTTTGATATTTTAAATTATTTGAAAATTGCCGCATTATTTGTTATGAGGACATCGATTATACAGTGATCACTAGTAATTGTTTGATTTTATCATAGTTTACCCTAATAACTGGATGTATAGTATTAAAAAATTAGTAATTTTTTTTTTCAGTTTCATAACAGATCGCATCGTTGGCGGTTTCAATCTTCGTATGCGCGTCTGCATATATTTTTGCTACAAATACGTGAATCGTATGCAATGATGACAAGTTTCATTTCGTCCAAAACAGGTTATATCTTGACCTTTTTCCATATTATTTCCAATCAACCAGGAGAAAGTGAGTCATACACAGGTTGTATTGCCACCATTCACATCGACAGCCTAAATTCTATTTGGTAAAGAAGCTTATAGAACATAATTTCGGTGTGTTTATAACTCTCTCTTGTGTCATGCGGTCACAAATGCCAGATGTGTTCAGTGATGTTAAGCAATTTCACCGAATCGTTTGCAGGAAAAGAGGACGCGTTGACCGTACGTAAAAACACGAAGATTTATTTTTCTACGTTATAACATATAAGTATTTACGATTTGATCGTCCTAATGAGAATTATTAGGCATTTTTGAAGACCAAATATACGGCTCGAGCATTTTTCAACACGAGTACGACAAGTCCATCACCACTGCCGTTGATCTTCACTTTGTAAATGATTTTAGCTTCTTTCAAATAAAAGGGACCCTACTGATAAGGTCGACTGAACTTCAACGCTGCATTTTAGACCAAGTGAATGTAAGCTAAGGCCCGAAACTGACTGAAAAATTATAATCCAGTGCGCGTGCTGCAATAATACGGGCTAACTGGCTTACGCACTTTCCGGTCAGGACGTTTGTTTGCCTTGAAGATTCCAATTGAATCGGTCGTGTTTCTGGCGTGGCTGCGTCCGCTTCGACGTCTGGTGACAACATTGCAACGCCGATCTGAATCATCGAAATTTCATTTGACGTGCGCGAACACACACTGTGTTCAGGCTCAGTGGGTCTAAGGCAAGACGAACACAAAGGCTAGCCTGCTAGGACAAAGCATTAGCAGATGAAAAACACGATTTTAATTCTAATTTAGGCTACGTACTTGTGACGCATTTGAAAAAAAAACAGAAGTATCGTTTATAGGTATGAATATTGAGAATAATTGCAAGCGACTTCAGAGATCTTTCTCGGCTCACTGACACTGATATGATCATAGCAGCGACAAACTTGTGGTAGCGGACTTATCGATCCACGAGACACGATCTGGTAAACACTATTAAGTGACCCTGTTTTAAGTTTGCTTCAAAAACTCTATCATGTCACACGTCCGTGGCCCTCGAATCGCGCGCCGTCTCGAAAAGCTGATCATTTAATAAGTAGATGGACATAAACACAGCGCACGGGTGAAACAAAGCCTATTCCGTCTGTTGAATTAGCTCCAGAAGAAGTTGAAGAAGCCCATGCTCTTTCGTAAGAACTTTGTTGGAGCGTAACTACTTTTTTCTTTGTTGTTTAATTATTTCACCAACAATCGGCTTTCGGCGTGACAATTTACCTAAGCGAAAGCCCAAACAGACAACCGTTGTACGGTTGCTAATGACGGCACTTGGTTGCCCTTTCAAGCACTGCAAAGTAAACTTTAGTATTCAACTCGACAGCAGTGAGGCAATGATATTGTGTCCTTGCGACGCCAGGTGATCCTTAAAACGTTTGGCTTAATACTGTCAGCTTCTTTTTCGGCAAACACACACACACACACACACACACACACACACACACACACACACACACACACACACACACACACACTAACACACACACACACACACACACACACACAGAAACCCTGTCATGCGTACTAGAAACCTAGAACAGCACCATTTTGTCAAGACATTAGCAGCCAGCAGCTCATATCATCGACACGAGATATGTATGGGTCAGAATGCCCGTATACTTTCGGAACTAAGCGTTTGCTGTCTAATTTTGCACCGCATAACAGGCTAGTCAGCGATTAACATATTGGCAAACCAGGAGCGAAAACGACGTCTAACAAGAGAGGTTCTATCGCCATGTTATAGAATGTCCAAAAACATTTATGAAGTAGGCTGTTGTTGAGCCTTCGTTGTGCTGGGGGAAGCGCTTTTTTTTAGCAATATTTTGGTATTACTTCCTATGCAAACAAAGTTCGATGCTCTGCTAAAATGTTCTCCTTTTATCATAAAAAGTCTCTCGGATCGCTTTAGAACATCATGTGACATTATGCCTTCCGCAACATATACCGGGATCTATTCCCCGTGATGGCGTTCGTGCTCTTGCTTCCGATCTTTGCATTCGTCTGTTCGAGTGCTGTTTTATATGTTTCTCTCTTACGACGCTGTCGTAGCGGGCCATCTTGATACACGAATGTACTCTTATTCTCAGTGTAGCCACTTCACTGTGATTCTGAGGTGATACGGATCAGCGTTCATCTTCACAGTATCGTTATCGGTAGATTATAAAAGATTGACAGTGGTCTCTGTTAAGTTTATGTTGGCGAATATATGCGTAAGACAGAACTATAAGACGTGTTAATTTCGATATTTGGTACAAACCGATAGCGGTGTTGTTTTGGCTTGTATGATATCGATACTGTTATTTCTATTTGTATTATACACACTCTATTTGTATCGTTGGAGCATGTCAGGTCAGGTTCTAGAGGCGATAGTGCTAACACCTGAAGCGAGAGAAAGTACGTGCATTTGAACTCTACCTCTAATTATTTACGATATGTTGATGGGGAGGTTACATGTTTCCTTGCTGATGGGCTGTTTCGAGGAATGAAGTAAAACAGCATTATAGTGAGCACTGTTAGTACTAATTAATAAAGCTTTTAGAATCTTTGTTTTTCTTTTTCCTCTAGAATATGTTGTATCCCTTATATAGTATAGGTGTGTGAATCCGGATGTACTCACGGAGTAAACCGAACTATATTCGTATCCCAGTATCTGTGGGCAATCTTTTTCTTTCCTTAGAATACGCAGTTTCTCATATAATTTGCCATATACGAATATATAATCGTATGTATATGGTTCTTCATATGACTACAGTATATTCAAACAGTTTATATTAGTTTAACTTGCAGTTACATCATAATATCCATGTACTAAAGCAAATTAAACGATTTCTACAATCGTTTTATTACGGTGTTAGCTAGAATTACCTTTTGGCAGCCCTTCCCTGGTTAGTGCTATGGCCAAAAACATATGTGCCCTTCACCTCCGATAGCTTCCGACTACTTTTCGTTGCTACGACCCATAGAGTCGCACTCATATTTCCCAGTCCAGGTCGCACCGTTGACAATTGAGGATATGGGTTGAGACTCAGATAGTCGAGTTGTTCATATGGATACATAATAGATAAATATAAAATCTCCGACCAATTGCGCAATGTATATATATATATATATAAAATTGTGTATAAATTTATTTGTAACAAATTGGCTCTTTGTCTTCTTTTATCTGTTGTCGTTAACACCTTCTAGATATAAAAAATAAAAAGACTAAATCGACTGTTGGCAAGACTGTTTTAACAGTTTTACCAATACTATAACGTTATAGTACTGGTAAGTAAAGAGTAAAGTGTTCCGGCTAATGGACGTTTTTTTGCGAAAATCCCTGGACAGCTATAGGGTAATAGTAATAACAGATTTTTAAAAACGTGTTCTTACATTTCTCTTGCGGCTAATCACATGTCAAATCAATTCTGCGAAAAACAGAGGTATCCAACGTTCTTTCTTACTTAAGACAATTACCTCTTGAGATTATGACGTCGTACAAAAACAGTTTATAACATCAAGGAACTTTTAAAAGAGAGAAAAAAAAATAGGCATGTATATTGTCAAAGGGCATTTCGTAAGTTCGATAGAAAGAATAGGTTGTTGCTACGAATGTAGAAGGCTACAGTATGAATAGGCCTGAATGACTTTATCGTGAGCATGCTGAGAATTTCTGCAGAAATGCTAAGAAATTGAATGTTGTTTTTGCTTTTAAAAAAACTTTATGATTTAGTGTTTGCATGTGATTATTACGCATGTAGTGCGGCATTTCGAGAAAAAATCTTAGCCCCCAACAATACGGGGCAGAATTTTATAGCCGCCAGTCAGGTAGCCGATCTACTGGTACTGCCAGCAGTATTCGCTGATGAACGTCCACAGGGCTGGACAAAGAGGTGCTTTGAGTTTCTAACTTTGGATTAGCAGCTTTCCTCGCAAAAGTTGGAACTCACTTGGGCGAACAGCCTCTTCAAATCGTTGGTTTCTGCTTTCGACGAGCGTCGAGAATAATTAGGGTGGGCTGGCAGTCTTTTTTTTTTTTTATCTAATCCCGGTCTATCAGCCGATCTTTTCTCGCCCTGTTTCTCTAAATCTTCACTGGCCTCCACGAGAACTCGTTTCATCTCCGTCGTCGTCTTCTTTATCTGCTAAAAACGGGTCATCTTTCGAGACGGTATGCAGATTACGTACGTCGGTATCGACAACTATCACGACGAGTCGCGGCCGTCGGAAGCGGCCTGTAAGACAGCAACAGGAGCTGCTTGCGTGACCGCCTCTGCCAACGACTTCGCTGTTCAAAACATGTAACAGTACAAGTGTATTTTTACGTAATTCGCTCGTTTCATTTGCCCCAGTTCCGGCAGCTCGTTTCTATTCATCGTTTTCACTGCTGTGCTATCTCACCTTCACGGCCGATATCATTTATACTATGCCCTGAGCTTTCTTTGGAGCTTCGTGTTCGACGACGGCCACGATGCGGACGTCACGAGGTAATATATACAGACCCAATGATGTAAGGTTACCTCGACACTACAATTTTCACCAGCTCGTTTTTCAGACCAGTCTAAACAGAAAGGGGCCGCCCCTGCTATAGCGGTTCTTAAAGTATGCTCGCAGCCCAACTAAGAGCTTAGGTAAGCGAAGCGACGTGCATGCATAATTACTTACACTGAAATATCCCAGATTTTCGACGAATGGACAAAAAAGGAATATAAGACCGCGATATCTGCGACGGCCTAATCGCTATCCTAGACTTGCCGATAAGCCTGCGATGTCCTAGGTGCTCGCTATTATCTTATTTATATATTATATTTTTGGCCTGAAATTTTTTCCAAATATTTGGTCCATGTTGTGAGATGTAATTTTAACTGGAAAATGTATATATCTATCTGTAGACAGAAAATGAACGCAGATTCTGTGGGCCACCGTACTGGCTGGGATCTTTCTAGTACACCGAATTCGAACTTTTTGTCTTCCCCGTAAATATTTAATGGTATGTTCGGTTTGATCGATTAACTATACGACCATTGCCATTGCTAAGATCTATCATATGCCGAAATCGATTTGGGACTACGGGGAGTCTATGCACGAGGAGAAGGAATGGAGACACATATATTAAATGCGGTTGTTTAGATACTGCTGGCGTAATATGAATTAGTACCTATAGGGCGCAACGAGAAACGAGCGGCCATGTTAAACCGTTTTTTACTCCGCCTTCTTACTGTCCTTATGTCTAGTTACATGTTGTCCTCGTCATCGCCTCGTCAACATGTTAATTTATATAACGACCGACCAGTTAAATTGCTGCTGATCTACACAGGCGACTATGCCTAGTAATTATCCGTCGTGTTATTATAGTAATAGTAGCCTCATTATAATAAGTCCTAGTCGTTACACTTTTCATCGTTTTTCCTCTTTTTGATATTCATCTGCTACGATAGTTTTATTCAAATACGTTGGTAATTAACACGAAAATAATTATTTGTATTTTATTCTTATATAATGAGTTGCTTTATGTATGTGTGTATATATATCATCACGATCGGTATTACTATGTCTCGATACTATTGGTTCCTCTGTATAAAGTTCGATGAGCGCCACCCCAGTGGACCAGCGGCTCAACGAGCTGATTCATTTTCCGTCGCGTAAATCTCTACTGCTTCTTTGTATGTATTTTTGTCCATTTCTGTTAAAAACGCTGTGCTTTAAGGCCAATGTGGCTGGCGCTTTACACACTTGACTAGCTATGCGTACAAACCAACGAACTATACGCTTTACTTATGGCAAGTGCTCGACGACACTACCGAAAGCGTCAGTCGATCAACGGTCAGCAGAGCCAGTACACGATCTGGCGTTCGACGTTATGGGTTGAGTTGATTGTTTTGATGTTTCTGCTGCAGTCTAATTAACCAATAGGTGTTAACTGAGTAAAGAGGCGTCATGTTGACGCTAAATGATACACGGTAACCAATGTATCCTGTGGCGCGTCGCACATCATCGTCTGATTAATTAATTTACTAAATTCCATGCTCCACGCATCCATTCCGTATCAGTATCGTCTTTCTATGTGTCACTACGCGACGTCGTTAGTGGAGGTGGTAATCGGGGGTGAAAAGTCGGCCATCTGTCCTGTTTTTTTTGTTGTTGAGGGATGATGACGCGCTGTTATCTACTTCACTTTGTTTTGTTCTGCAGGTTCAATCTGCTGCCGTCGGGGTAGCGGTAGCGGCAGCGGTCGAAGTCATCTTGGGACTGGGGGCAGCGGAATCGGACAGCGTGCTGTTATCATGCTCTTGTCCTGATGTGTGAGGTGGTTGCGGTGAAGAGTGACCCGAGGATGACTGAGAGCCCATAGCCAGCTTGCGCATCTGCCTGATAACGGCTGTCGCGTTATATGCTTGCTGAAATCATCAGAAACAACGTTTTTACGTATATGTATAATCGGCGACTGCATTTAAACAACTGCTGACGCATTACGCGCCATCCTACCAAAAGTTCGGCCGGGGTACGATGTCGAAAACATACAAAAAAAAATATGTAGATATACACAACGTCATACGTACTCGAACGATGATTTTCACCATTGAAACAAGGCGAAAAGGCAGAGCTGTTACTAAAGCTGTTGCTAGTTTGGCAGCTAACAATAGCTACATGGCAGTCGCAATTTCATGGATACGAACAAGAGTACCGAGTAGGAGCCGACGAGAACACTATGAAATGAAACGAAAAGGAATGATTTGTCCCTACAGTAAGGCCCGACCATGTCCTGCTCTAGGCAAAGCGGCTACAGTAACTACAGTGTTTGCGGCAGTTAAATTGATATAATAATAGTTACTCTAGGAGCAGTGACTGTGTAAATATGCCTGCATTAACGCACTATGTTCAAAGAAATCATGGCAATCATTATATAGCAACATATGTATAGAGGCGTATACAGCAGAGTTGGTATTACGTCAGCTTCAAGACGTGGCCGTGTTACCTACTACAAAGGGCATGAGAGGAAAATTTAGAAAGGCTGTACTCCGGCAGAATGCAACAGCTCTCCGGCGGATTTGCCCGCCGTGAGGTGACGGACAGGTCTGTAGATCTGAACCCTGGAAAGCCTCTATTCTGTGCTCTGCGCCGCTCCGACTCTGACGCCTCTCTGCCTTTCTGTTCCTTGTTCTCGCCGTTCGTTGTTGTTAACTTGGGTGGAAGACGATAAGGCAACATATAGAGGGAACGAAAAAGCCTCCCATCGTTTCCTCCAGTGGAGACTGATCATACCAACAGCGTTTGGTTAGGTAATTGAACCTTTCCAATTTTTATCGTATGATGATAATACTGTGTATAGCACTTACCCGCCATTTTGTTTTAGCGAAGTTCTTCTTGAGCTGTTCGCTGACTGAGCCATGGATGTTCTTCGACGACGCCGTATTCCCAGATATCCATGGATGGCCAAGCGCTTGTCGGCACGTGTAGCGCTTTTCGACATCGACGCAGATCAGATGACGGATAAAATCTTTCGCCGATTCACTGATATCGTCCCAATATGGCGAATCGAATTCGAAATCTCCTGTACATTTTAGTAATATTTATGTTAACAATGAAATAACGACATTTTTTTTGTTCTAAATGAAGATGTATACAAATTGGTTCGCTTTGATGCTCATATTGAAGGTCAATGGAAACCCCATGCCCACAGTATTACTCTGGTTAGCCCAAGATTGAGTACAGCAGCCTCGTAGCCCCAAGGTCCTCCGTAGCGGCCAAGAAGCGGGGTCATTTGTACATACACCTTCTCTTGTAGCCATCGTCGCTAGCAGCTTTATTTGCTGAAAAGCCATTACGCTTCGTAACGTACGCGAGCGCCAATAAGCGATCTGAATGTTTAGATTCTGCATTTGGATCTTTCGTGCCCAGCAGATAACACCAGATTTCAGTGGCTCAATTTAACACGCGGTTCCCGCTAGACAAAACAACCTACAGGTGAATGGAGAACATTTATTAGTGCTTGAGATCGGTCTTAGGTATTTTTCAACCACAAAAATTACTGGGGACGTGGCTTAAACTAGGTATGGCCTACCTGACAGAACGGCGATACCGGGCGTAAGATTCAAAACATATAGGATAGGATATCTATAAGATGTGAAACAAAGCTCGCTTCGTGCTAAACTTTAACTGTCTTACACAATTTTAACATACTTACAAACGTAAAGCTCTAATTATGTATTTTAGAACTTTCTTTAATATAAAAGAAGAGTAGCGGTTGCTTTAATGGAGATTAATTTTACAAGTGCGTTACAACCTGGAGTTTCTTGAGATATTCCAATCTACAATTGAAACTATCCTAGGCTTTCTTTTATAATACTTTCTCTTATAATATCAGAAAAACAGAACGACAGCAGCATAGAAAGATCTATTTTTTTTTTTAGATTTGCTGTTGAGGTCATTTAGAAATAACAATAACAGTAATAACTATTATTGCTAATAATAATAATTGTTGTGTAGGACGCAAGTACTGATAATTATACCTGCCCTCTAACTGCTTAACAAGGCTCTCGCAGAGGGTGCTTCTGCCACCGAACCAAAATCAGTTTACGATGCAAAGGCCAAACCTGTTTCTGGACCTTTCGCATATTATGGAGCGACACAGTGGTAGGCAAGCAGGAATTGGAGCAGGGTCTATGCAGTACTTCTACCATGGCCAGCTAGAACTGCGGGAATGCCAACGCAGAAGTCTGTCAGGGGCTAGAGCTCTTCGAATCTTCTCCGCCCCAGGCTAAACAGCGGGACAATTGCAATGCTATCCACGATCAGTTAGCTTTACTAGCCGGTTTGGTCGTTCGATGCGTATTCTATTCGTCTCTTGGCGGGACCCGGTGAAGTGGTTAAGGAAACCCAAGGGCGTAATCTAAAACTAGTCTGATAGACAAGCACTCGATGTGCTAGCCAGTTTACAAGGCACATGCTAAACGTTGTCATCTCGTTTCGTCTATCCGTTTGGATTCTACGGTCCGAAGAGGCTATGTTTGTGTAGAATAGTGCGGACCGGTCTGCAAAGCTACCAGGCGGTCGTAGTAGCAGAGCCATCCCAATGGCATGAAAATTATGCCGCCGTCTGGCCTCGTACCAACCCCACATTCGGTTCAGTACCAACGTCAATAGCTTTTTCAAACTCTATTTATCAGCATCTGTTTATCGTGTTGCTGGGAAGGTCGAGTGATGGACGGAAAGTAGCTGGGCAAAAGGCGGCTTATTATATACAAATCTAATTGCACGCGGCTCGTTACACGTGATGTCATAAGACGACGTAAACTGCGGCTGTTGCGGTTGAGTTCTCTAAGCACAGTTTTCAGCACCTCTGCGATGTCACCTGGGTTCTCGGCAACTTCTTTTGCTTTGATTTTTTCCCTGTGCCTTTCTATCGCTGCAATGACAGAACTCCGACAAATGACAACCTGGACACGACAATCGAGCGACCAGGATAGGGTAGAAACTCCTTTAGAGAAATCATTTTCGACTTTCTTTCCTTGCTCCTCCGAACCCAAAACCAAACCAAATCTGCCGAATCCCAGATGGCAACGGCGGCTGCAAATGCTGTTTGCTGTTAACAAGCCGGCCTTACTTGACGATTTTCTGGACTCGTGCTGCCAAGCGTTTCCTACAATAGCGCCTAATCTAGCAAATATCTAAACCGTATCACCTATAATCAAGGAGGCTTTTCAGTCTAGGACAAATTTGAAACATTACCACAACCCATAGGGAAATTGTACAATGACCTTAATCTGTCCAAAGCTTTAAGCAGCTTACTTCTAAGACACCTGCTTAAAGGTAATTCGAAACGGGTGCATGTTCCTTCGATTAGTTATGAAGTCTAAGTTATTAAGGAGTTTATCTACGCTGGAGTGACCACACTATACGTATTAATTCGAAAAAAATATCTGTCGACTTCTAGGATCGGTTCCAATGTCCAAATAGGCCAATGTTCTAGCAGTGTTCTAGATAGTTGGTGCCATCATTAACCACAGACCGTTGGTAGTAATGGCCATTCACCACCGCGTACATATACATGGTCTCCGACACGCTAGGAACAATTGATTCTTACTAGGAATATTAGATATTGGCTGAGAAATTCCAATTTCCTTATATAAAAAAAAAGGGGAAATATCTTCCTATTTGTCGGGACTCTTAATAGCAAAGATTATCGGACACTTCGTTTGCGAGCAAATCAACCCGCTGCGCATTCAGGTTTCATTACTGATGGAACAAAGTTATTGGCTGTTTGACCTGCCAGAGTTTCTAACATCCTCCAATGACGGACCCAACTCTACATAAAAGACTCCTTTAATGGATCCCTTGTTATCACTCAGACCGTTCTATTATTTGACATTTAATTTTCTACTACTTCTTTCTCTTTTCTATTGAAGTCTAGATTCAGATTTGGCTATCGGGTTGTATAGCATACAGAACAACTCAAGTAAACATGTTACTCAAAATAAAATAACTATATTATATATACAAAATAATAACAAACTGGTAGCTTCGCGCCATGTTGGTCTAGAAAGGCTCCAAGTACGAATTAAAGTTAGCATGGGTTTGGCCATTAATAAATCAGCCATAAAGACGAAACTTGATTCCCTAACGATCAAACATTATGAAATCTTGCCTAGTGATAACTGGACTGGCCAAGATCCTTTTGAGAATATTATTTAGTATTGTTATTTACGATATATATGTACTATATATAATACCACACTTAAGCCGTAAAACGTAAATCACAGTGAATTTCACTTCTCTATGATGTATTTATTATTTGCCAGGCTCTGCCTAATCGTTGTTATAGGCCTGTTGTTGTCGCCGTAATGACTTCATCATTCTTTGGGATACATTGATCGTTTGTCTCGTGTACTAAATAGACAGAAAATCCACATTTTTCTAAAGTGAGTTTTCCCACATTTTGCTCATTATAACTTCAAACAACAAATCAGCAAACTTTGTTGTTTCTAAAGCCGACTGTGCAATTGCGTAATACGTCTGGTGAAACATTTGCTGAGCCTACAGAGCGTAAGCACATGAAAGTGAGGACACAACTGAAGATCATGATCTGAAGATTTACAGTTTTCAGTATTAATCTACTCAATAAAGAGGAATGCCTCGAGCGTCTTAGAAATTAGGACAGGTGATTAAAAGGCCAATTCTAGCAAACCTGTACAGACGTCTTTTGCTTGATTCACGAACGATTAAATCTACCTGCCGGAACCGACCTGGGAAAAACGTCAGTAGGAACAATTTCGGCCCCGCACGTGGACATCGTCAAATGAAGAAGACGATACAGGCGATATAGAGAAGAAACACGCTCGCTCTAGTTCGAACGCTTAGACGTACGTCGGTGAACTCGCTTGCCAATGGCCGAAACAGTCCGTGCGACGCCCCTCTGGGGTCTCGAGTTCATTTCGAAAAGTTGCGCCACGCAAAAATCTTTAGGGAATACGACAGTTTTCAATTGCCCAATATATCCGATGCTGATGTGTGTATATAGAGAATAAAAACCTGAACAGAGTGCTTATAACGTACTGAAAATAAACTGGTATTATGTGTAAATCAAGTAATGCTGCATTATGCTGCGATTACTAAAATAGCCGAGACTTTTCTAAGCTATCACCAAGATTTCGGGCCTATTTGCATGGCACTAAGGAGTAAAGGTAATTAGTTAGTGTCAAAATAGGTGCTTGAACCCAGCCATAGTTTTTGCATGAAACAGGACCGGACATATAGAACAGTACTGCTCATCAAAGTCGAAGTATACCCAAAAGCGGCGCTGGGTCACGCGATTTGAGATCAAACTAAACTGAGGTCTAACTGATATTCTTCCCATCGTGGCCCTTATCTACTTTACATATTACATATAATCTCTATCGTGGTTATAGTAGAATTTGCATATCACACCTGATATTTTAAATGCCCATGAGCAGGCGTTATTGTGATGAACGGATATCGGAAAAGAGATCCTATTTAAGATTTCTGAATTGACTGTGTGACAACAATATCGATCGGCATATTCCTTCATACAACCTAACTTTTTGTAGGCCTACCTTTAATAATTTGAGCGAACAGGTTTGCGTCTGACTCGTCGTAGAAGGGTGGATAGCCGCACAGCAAAATGTACGCAATAACTCCCATTGACCACACATCAACGGCTTTCCCGTAAGGCTTCTGAGCGAGCACCTCAGGAGCTGAGCAGTGTCGATATTGGAAATTATGGTGACCAATCGAAGTCAGGTGCGGTACGAAAAGTCGAAAAGCATAAATTGAATACCTATACTTAATAACTGTTCATCTGTTATCCTCTCCGTCAAAGTAGTCTTCATACGCAGGACGTTACAAGATACAAAGCAAAAACAAAGCCCAATGTTGGTATAAATTATCCTTCCTTTCAATTCAGTTAAATTCAACATACCGACATAACCTGGAGTGCCGCACGCCGTCGCCATGACGCCGGAGTCCTCCATTTTTGATAATCCAAAATCGCTGATCATAATCTTGGAGTCTTCATCAGACGAGTAGTACAACAGGTTCTCGGGTTTGAGGTCGCGGTGGACGACTCCCTGTGAGTGCATATAATCAACAGCTTCAAGTATCTGCTTGATCAAGTGCGAAGCGTCCTGTTCCGTATAGCTGCCTTTTTCCACGATTCGGTCAAACAACTCACCCCCCGTTACCCTGCAAGAATATACGTCTAACAGTTACGTCAGGTTTCTAGGAGTCGATCATAACAAAATCAAGCAAACGCATAAAATGCTAGCAGTGCCTTCCTTCTGATGTTTAGGACCTCAAGACAACTCGGCGGTTGCTACATCCGACAAAGTAATAAGCTACCCGCAATAGCAACACTTATCTACCAACCGAATCGATGGCAGACAGGTCACCGACTGTTAGCCAGGACTTGTCAGGCCGTCCAATTGCAATGTCCAGCTAAAGAAAACAGCAAAGAAATGTAAGTCAGCATCGGCAAGATTGGTGGAAGCCACACTCAGACCCCATGTCAGTAGTCATTACTGTAGTAACTCTCAAGATTTGGTCTGATCGATACCGGTTGTATAGCAACAGCAATAAGATCGAGTCCGCCTTGTTGATCCGATGGATGGATGAATGAATGAAGGGGACAAAGCGAATGTTGAAGGGATTTCGAAGTGAGTAGTCTCTCTAATCAGGACAGAGCCATAAAAACTACAGAACCAGTGAAAGAAAACACGAGTGCTGTTTTTTGGGCTATCAAAATTACTGAACTTGGTCTCGATATCAAATTCACAAACTTGTTTGAGGGGCCTCAGGGGTTCACGCAGGGGTCAATGTGGACAGCGCTTACTTGTCGTCTATTTCGTCTTGGTAAGAGATGCCTACTTCATCTATTGTAGGAAGGCAGGTAGAATCGCAGTAGCAGCAAAGCCAAATGCGGAAATTCAGCATGGAGCAGATGACAGAATAACATAAGAAACACCGTTAAATATAGCTGAGCAATTTTGTTCTGCAATAAGAGCAAACTCTGCAGACACTGACAAGGCATGTCTATGTAGAGAAGCACCGTAACATTTAGCATACATTTATGCCCATAGTAGATGTTTTTCAAAACTGAATAATGCCGAATCGAACATGCAGCGTTCCTAAATTCTGTCGCCTCCCCGCCGCTACTAATATTATTATCGCGGCTTCTGAAGTCGCTGACTCTTCCCACTACAACCACGATAGGTGCTACAGAAGGCATGCCTCGAAACACGCGTATGTTATGATCTTGTCAGATTAATATTCGCTGGAATCCCCAAAGCGTGCATTGAGACAAGAAAATTCTGTGCCCCTATACTTCAATTTTCCGATAGCAGCAGGCAACAGGCACCAAGAAAACGTTGACGCCCCCTACTATAATTAGCGATTTTAGACAAACAAGAGGCTTGTGGGTCCATTGTTATTTAAAAAAAAAAAGTGATGAAAGTGATTATGAACGCTAGCAACAAACTCGAAACAGAAGTTGCCGGGACTCTTCCAACCAAAGCGATAGTAGACTCTTCGACATCGGCGAAGAACTATCCCAAGGCGACAGCAGCAGCAAGCGTCCCACAGGCGTTGCATACAAACCGTACACGTACAAACGACGAGCAGATCATCACGATTACATAAGCTAGATGTAGCATGGAAAGCGGCCGAATTCAAGGAACATGAATGGCGTCCGGAAAGCGCATTAGATAAGGTGGTAGTCCCATACTGATCCCTTTAACCTGTGACGATCGCAGCAACCGCGTGACGGTGGCGGTGGCTCACACATTACGGCTTTTGAAGCGCCACCACGGAACCCGAATAAAGCACAAAGGCATCGTCCTTATGGTCCCTCAGCCTTCAGCCCTTTGTCCTCAGCTGAGTGTGGTTGAGCTACAGACATGCTAGGCAGTAAAGAGAGAAGCAGCAAAGCTATGTGGCTTTTACCACCAAAAAAGAGAGATGAGAAGCTGAGAGCGATTCGTGAACTTCTAGGAGGACCAGGTGGACAAAGCAATGAACGAATAACAGACTCGTTCTTTATTTATTTTTCAGATAGGAAAGCGAGGACTTTTTTGAGCTGTGATGAGCCTTACGCATATAACTTGAAGAAAACAGTGCTTTCGAATACATGGTATCCGGGTAGTTGGTAGTGGATCTCTACTGAAGCCTCGAACAAGTCAAGACTAGCGACCGGCCGGAGATACGGCTTTCCCTTTTCAGCAAGAATAGCGCAAGCTTCGATCAGACACCTGGTGATCAGAAGCTTCGGCAGCGGCAACGTGCTTTCTTTGCTTCATCCGCGTTTGTTCACATTCAATAGCTAAAAGCAGGCAGGACTTTTCGAATCTTTCTGCAGCTGACTGGCTGGATGCTGTCCTTTTTCAAGAAGCCTTTTCTTATAGGACCGTACGTGCTTGAAGGAATTATTACGACCACCTTGCTTGCTCTACTGCCGGGTACTTGTATCTGCCTTGCGTTTTGCTTGTCGTTGTAAAGATCCAGATAGGGTCGCCAGACAGCTAGTTTGCCGGTCCGCCCGCCCGCCTACCCGCCCCATGCTCTCTATAGACTTCGCCTCCTTTGAATACCACTCTGCGTCAATTTCTAAACCACGGCGACTCCCATAGCTTCCACAAGAGTGACTCGTTGGGTTGCTGAACCTCATTTGCTCTCGCTTTCTCTCCCTCTCTCTCTCTCTCTCACTATATATATATGTCCTTTGTTCAACTCCTGCTACCGCCATCGACGCGGAATAAAAGGGAACTCCAGTGCGACAGCGTTCACGGTGACGAAGCGGGGAGTAAAGGATGAAGAAGAGAGGCTAGGGGGAAACGTTCCTTAGACGTGCTAAACGAACGAACATGTAGCGCGAGAAGGACAGCTGAGAAGGAAGTATCAGGGGCAGCCAGCTTTCAACTAGACAAAAGTCAGAAAGGTAACGCTTCCTAGCGTTACCTTTCATCGCTTGCTTGCGGTAGCGCGCGGCATGGAAAACACGACGGTGCGAGGCGAACAGAAACGGAACAAGATACATTGTGAAGGGAGAAATTGCATGCTCTCTTGGTTAGCCATATTAGCTGTTGCTGCTGCTGCTGCTGCTGCTGTTTGATGCAGCTGGAAAATTCGCCACTTTAAGCTGATCATACAGTGCATAGAAACATTTTGTAAAAATCCGCTTTACGATGTGTGCATACTGAAAATAATCTCTTCTTCGTTGTCTATAGTTGATAACGTAAAAAGCTTTCTTCAGGTGTTTATCAGTGCTTTAAAGACATGATGCTTTACTCTCCCACCTGCCCTAGCTACTATAAACCATACGGGACAAGATATGGTACTTCTTTTCCCGGCTAAGTTCAACATTCCCTTTGAACCAGTTAGTTTTCCTTTTTTATTAAGGAGTTATTAAGGTAGTGTTATTAAGGAAACACTTCCGCTCCTTTGAAAACTGGCAGAATCTCAACAAATCTATGAAATTAAGGAGTCTGCTTGTTACTTCCATTCCTCTCGTTCTCCCTGTTGTTTGTTTTGTGGCCTGATATAGCCTAATATATAACGGTTAACTAGGCAACCCCGCTAAAGAAATTCGCGTGCAAGTAGTAATAAAAAAGCCTGCGAATTGTTGTACCAGAATTGTCACTATTGCTATCGTCGGCTAGAAACACCGACCTGCTACCTTCGTTGGTTTAAAAATCGTTCATCTAAAAAGTATACCTAAAAAATAAGTACACTTTATACATTGCTCCAAAGAGCTAATGATGAAACAAAGACCTTTACTATTCCATTCTAATCTAAAGATTGATTTGCAGGATCGTCAAAAGGTGCTAACTAATGCTAACAAGGTTACGACCGTTACGCGATTGTATGTGACCGGGGCGGCGCTGCTACGTCAACTATAACTGATGAACGCCACGAAAAATTATTTGCAAATATTTATAATTGTAAAAATGAGACATGACTGAAAAACAAGGAACGGATAGCTGCCCGATTTCATAGGCGTATTGAATAAACCCCAGTTAAGTCCAGCAAGACCCATTCCGGTTAGACTACTAATGGGAGGAAATTTTTGATGCTATACCTAAAAATTGGTGAATTCTAAGGTTTACCCATACGAGCATGACAAAATTGACAGTGCTAAATAAAAAAATGTGTTGGCCTACCGTTGGTGACCATTTTTGCCATCATTAAAATACTTTTTCAAAAAATCGTTTATCGAGTCAACCTAAAGATAACAGTTGTAGCCATAATTTTGCTACTATTTAGGGGACTTTAGAAAATATTGCAGTTTGTATTATCTTAATGTATGTTCTATTTATACTAAAGCGTTATCTCTGAACATTGAATTTACGCGTTGCCCTGTATTTTGCAGGAACTCTCCGCTGACATGTTTTGCTCATAACGCCATGCATCTTCATGGTAATAGCGTACTTTTATGCTGTACTTTGATAGTTGCGTTTGACAGATGCATTCTCAGCATTTGTTATTGTTGGTTATCTGAGCACGCGAGTACTTCAACGTTTTTACCACTAAATGCTGCTATAATATTCAGAGTTTCTATAGAGAGATACTACTACAAGTTCCCAATAGATGATGAATAGAGAAAAGAAAAAGCCAATACAACATTAACATCGTGTAAGCGGAACTGTTTCAAAGGAAAGGACAATGACGGCGGCGACGACGACGCTGCCGCCGCCGCCGCCGCCGTCGTCGACATCATCGTCAGCAAGAACTACACAGTTCCTATGAGGAGCTAACTCTGGGCGTGTAACAGCCCGCCTCGTAGCGGTGTAAGGCTGTGAGGGATGAGCCCGTTAATGTGTCACGAAGGAAGAACTTCTATCGTACGTACTACTGAAAAACGATAGGAAAGAGTTCAACAACACGTTATCCCCTCAATGAATAGACTTCGTTTGTTTCGAGTTCGTGTTGTAGTTTGTATCATTTATTCCATTTTGTTCTGTGCCCTCAAATTTAGTCATCTGAGTAGTAAATATAGCAAAACAAGGGGTATATAGCGTACTAAAACTGATCTATTCTATCTTTCTCCAGTTTGTTACGGATACGCAAGGCCTTAGCTATGACATATGAATCGTTGCCAATCGTTCACTGTATCAGAATAAAATTTTTATCAATTTAGCAAAAAGACCAACAACGCGTCATATAATTGCCATCTAGTCTGTATATAGTGTTCCTGTGATGGCGCTAAGTTCAATTACTCTTTGCCTGGTACCATTAGGGACACGTGGTAATCTGGCTCTGGATAGTCGAAGCGTGTGTCGACACGCTTCGTTTTGTATTAGAAGCCAGCTGGCTAATGGAACGCGTAACAGCAGTGTCGAACATTTAATCCTTTTAAAAGACCGTGACCATCATTCAGCGGTGGTTTGAGCTTCGACCTGTCTTAGGTTGGTGATACGTGAATCATGCGTACGGTACGTCTTCGTATCGTTGTTTAAATGAGCATAGGCCTATCTGAGTCTATTCCTATAACCTTAATTAACACTGCCGCGGTGCTGTGGAATGTGCACAGGAGACAATATAATCAATATATCTAATAGTTGCAATACCAAGCGTACCAGTTGTTATATCACTTACGCCATCTCGCTTCTGCCATTAATCCTGTGGCGCTGAACTGATATACAAGTAAGGCCTGCTGTTTAAAAATGTTGTCCACAGTTCTGAATGGATTAAATATGTAGGTGATTAGACAGGCTTTTTTCATGACCTAAGACAAGCAACGGTGGCCACAGTTAGGCAGCAAGGAAACACGATTACTACTGCTTGCGGTGTACACCTTCCAGTCATGCATCGACGCCTTGTGTCTGTGTTAGCATCTGGTAGCTCGACTAATGGGTATTTTTTTTTATATATCTATATACAAACTATAGACAACGTCTGCTAAGTTCAAGGAGGCAAGATTTAGATAGGAGTTACCAGATTTCAATTAGCCTTACGTGATCCTTGCGTTCTATGCAGCTTTTTAAGGTATCTTTACTTCTACAGCTTTGAAAAATACAGTACCTTTGTTAATAAAAGCCTCGACTAAAACTAGGTATTGCATGCCATACTCTGTAGTGGTTGTTTCAAACCTAATCAAGTACCTAACGGCACCAATGAGATAGTAGTCTATTGGTCTTCATCAGGGTGAAGTCGTTCGCATGTCTGTTCTGTCTTCATACCTTCACGCTGTTTCTTGCATTGCACCTATGCGCTAATTTAGACTTTTTTTTTTCTAATTAAATATAGGTTATTTCAAAGGGAAAAATTAATCAAAAGTTAGCTGGCTATTAAAACAAAAACAACATCCCTATTATAGATATTTTGTGCAATTCGATTTTTTTTTAACTTCAGGCGTGCAACTTCCTTCAATTGTAGCCTTTTCACCATCCGCGCGAGGTTGTTCCATGCAAAAAACACGCGATTTACAATGTGTCATGAGGGTCCATAACCCACCCAAAACCAGCGACTGTATTGATGATGGCAGATCCAAAAATAACGCCGATAACGATAGGATATACAGTACAGCGGCGAATAAGTGTTCGTTAAGGAAGTACTAAAGTTATAGCAAAAAGCAGCGTAAATCGCGCCGTAAATTAGCGTAAATTAGACGACTTTTCATGGCACTGTCGTAACAAATAGAGTTACGATAGGCAGAAATCGCCTCAAGATATGTTGCGGTATGAGGATTTGGTTTCCGCAAACCGCCGGCTGTCTCGTGCTAGTTTTTATAATGACGTGCTAACGATGCATATGTGACGTAATTGTTATTTCGAAGAACGTTGGCTGTTTTTAAATTAGGCGTGCGCAGCGTGTGACACCCTTGAAGCAGGTCTAGGATACTGCTTGCGTCTGTGTTTCCTTCCGTGGCTCCCAATTAGTAGCTTGTCTTAATGAACAATGACGAAGTCGTGTGAACCACTTCATATGGTAACCTGCGCGTTGTAAGTAGCGATTTATGCTCATTTACCACCTTAGAAAAGTAAAGATTAGCTTCATGCATAGCTCCCCACTTCGGGTATGGAAGGAATTAGGTCCAAGCTAAGCGCCCCTTGACGTTTGTTGAAAACGAAGAGATCGTCGACAACGTCAAAATAGTCATTTTACAATAAGCAATAGGCAGCGTTATGCCAAAAAATAATACTTTTATGAACAGACAAAATAACAGTTCTACACGATAACAGACAGAACCTCTCAGGCTACCGGGTAGAAAATTTTACCGTTTTAGACCGACGGACGCATCAACTGAGAAGTTAGGACATATGGCAGGACGCACAGGCTGACAGACCATTTTCGGTCTGTCGGACCTAGTCGAGCCGAATGTTATTACATGCTAAATGTTAGAAAATTCATTTGATGGATAACCTATCCGATTGAGGAAAAAAATAAAAGCATCGAACTTGGATCCCGTTACCGAATTCAAATATATTAATTGTTTCCGCGATACTTCAGGTCCTTCACCCGTTCAATTGATCGGTACAGCTTCCCCAAGAGGTGTATGGAGCACATTATACTAAACAGAAAGTATTTCGGCTAAACGGAAAGAAAAAAACAAACATAGAAAACTCCGATTTCAATCCTTATGGTTGATATATATGGTCAATAGCTACCGCTAAGTCATAAGCCTTTTAAAGTGAATGTTATTCATACTAGTAAAGGAAATCGACGATAATTCAATACTCGAATTTAAGCTAAGTTACCGCACTCAAACAAAAAATGTCTATGAATGGAACTAGCGGTAAAATCTAAAGGACGAACTATTTTCCACTTACTCAGAGATTTTTAGTGCGTAATAACTAGCGCATTCTCTATTCTAATGGTCTATAAAAATACTAAAAATTAAGAATTAAAAACAAAACGTCATTTGCGAAATAGACAGTCATCAATAGTGAGTGTAGTATCACTTACAGCTCCATGACGAGGTAGACCTTATTTTTGTCTTCATACGTCTCGAGCAACTGGACAATGTTTGGATGTTTGAGCTTCCTCAGCACCTTGACTTCATTTTCAAGCGAGTCCTCTTTTCCTCTGAGGGCTTTCTTGTCGATGCATTTCACCGCTAACATTTCTCCTGCGCGTTCGCGGCTTTCCGCGAGCACTACCTGTGAGAATGCGCCCCTGCAAGAAGAACGCGTTACATATTCGTACAGCATGTATGCACAATACCTGCCAAGGGTCTATTATAAAAATTATGTGTTTCGCGCATCACTACCTAACGTACGTACATAGCGATCGAGTTACGTTACTAGCTATAGATAAACGCTTCATACCGTTCATAGATTAGAACAAATAGTTACGACACTCGTTGCCAGCAGGGCTTAGCCCCATGGCCTGGCTATCCTCAGAGCGAACCCAACTGTCAAGTAATAAGCATCACAATAGCAAACACGTTTGTATTCGGAAAACCTTCAAGGAAATCATGGATCGTTGTTTTTCGTTGTGACGTTGGTCTTCTATCTAGTCAGGCAAGCCTTCTATGCTAACGAAATAAAGACTCCCACTATAAAGATGGGGAGTGCTTGCGTATGGTCAACAGTGGCGTAAACAGCCGCAAATATTTCAAGAGCAATGACGTTTCACGTGAAATCATCCGATATTTGCCACGTACCTCACTCTGATTCAATTCGGCCTGCTTTTCTGTACTGTTTCCCCTCAACAGCAGGCACCTCCTGCCGATAGATCAACGGACCTTTACGTAATCGGGTAATCGTAGAAACGTATGTGAGCAAAGATTCGCGCGTACTATACCGACTGAGTGTATAGCACTTGCGCCTTATGTCCTGCAGTTGTCAGTGGTGCTCCACGTAGTCAACTTTAGTGGCATTTCCGAGGTACTACACACCGTTTTCAACTGCATTGCTGAACATGGCATAGCAGCTGAACTTAAAATCAGCGGGCCGATACAGCAGTTTGCCTATGTACATTTCTAGTGTTTTCCGTTATTTAGAGATATACTGACAATGTAAAGCTGCCCGTCTCAACAGTTTATCTTATTACCTATCGTTAACAATGGAAGATCTCCTGATTCGCCCAATCGGCGCCTGGAATCATGCAGATGATAACATTCTTACCGTGTTGGAGTTAATTATAATAGACTAGTTATAATTTATAATTCAGTTTTTTCGACCTCAGACAGCTTCCAGGAATGTAGATCCAAGCTAGTCTACAGTCCTTGGATGCCCAAATATGCATTGGAACAAGACGTACACGCATTCAAAAATAAACCCATAGATTACGGTGCTCTGATGCACACTGATGTACAACAATAACATGTAATTATATATTTGATGAGCAAGTGACATGAACGATTGGCTACTGAAGAGAAAATTAGAAGATTAGGTAACAACTTAGAGCTGAGGCCGTTTATATGTATGTATGTATGTATACGTACATATAAATCCACTATGACTGGCCGATCACGTCGGCTTAGACAGTAAATTTTTCGTAACATATTACTCTGCCATAAGTCGCATACTTCGTATGCATAACAACAAAAGCGTCTGATTCAAACTGATCTGTATGAATATAAAAAAAAGGACCGGAGCGTATTTGTGCGCACTTTATTGTAGGGGTACTGACCCATTTTTTGAACAGTTCTGTCTTCATTTTCGTCCTCCGCATCATGTCTGTCAGATTGCCTGCCTTCGGTTTGATCAGCTCAGATCACTGGGTCGACGGGACGAGTACACCAGCTGCTACGAATCGTTTCGGTTCGTGGTTCTTGCAATCGATAATCAACGAAGACCTGTGGCCAATGAACGACCTCGATTGTAAGTTAACCGACCCTGTCTTTAGTACCCAATTGTTCACGCCACTTGCTTATCCACATTAAACACCTTTTCAGGCCCTTCTTACATTTACTAACCACTCAGTAAGCTTTTGTGCGGACGCTACAAAGGCTTAATCGGTTAACGGTCGAGTGAAACTATGAGAGGCTTGTTCTGCAACGCGAAGGTCGATCTATTTAGTAAGAAAGCTCGCTGTTTTGCTCCTTATTGCAGAGAATGCATGTCTACGAATTTCCACGAGATAAAGCTTTTCCCCTACAGACAGCTACAAGCGACTGGTTTCTGTCAGATAGCCTGAAAATTGAAAGACGACGGCATGAGAAATCACGTATATGACGGCAGTATCCCGATCGTGCATAATCGCTCTGTGCCATTTTCCTGTGAGTTGAGTTCGTTTATTCGGTTTGAATTCGCAGGTCAGAAGGACTGCACAGAAAAACATTTAATCTTCACCTACCTGTGAGCTCCCTTCATAAAAGGATGATATTTCCTATTGCATAAGAACAATAGAATTCCTTTAATTGATTCCCATCAACAGTTATCTAACTGTTGATGTACTAGCAGTAAGGGACCGATATCGATCAACTTTTCACCGACGAATCTGTGAGTTTCAACAGAGTCAAATATTCGGTGCAAGCGCAAGAAGAGTTGCTGCTTAAAAAGGAAGCTCAAAGGACGCGTGGGTTGATTGGATTTAACTACATAATCCCTGTAATAATAATCCCAAATAATGCTCGATACAAATTTCAGCGTAATGTTTTGTACGAGCATCAGACCGAGAAAATGACGACTGTCGTCTGTAAAAGCCTCTGCGGAGGCATATAATGATTTCGGCAAAATATATCTTAGAGATGGGAAGCGTAAACATAACGAAATAGCGCCTGATCGTAAGCAGCTGGCTGGAAGTATTTACTACGAGCAGACGACGATTTGCGGCGGTATCCGGCTGGCATAGCACGTCGTGCGCACACACACGGAGGCATACAAGATCAAGTATGAGCCATGAATTCGTGGCTTATATCTGTATCTTCTCCACTTGTCGCTAAATTTTATAATTTTTTCTATCGACTTATAAGAAAACACAATATGACGGATGAATAGTACAGGTTGTTGAATTGTGCCAGCTACTGGGAGAAACATATTTTCATTACAAACACGTCCGTAGAGTCGTTCGTTTGAAACAGCACTGCTAGTGCCTTGAGTAATCGTGTCCCGTAAGGAGTCTATTACAGCATCTGTGACACGGAACATTTTGTCAGACTTGTGACGTTAACAGCTTGTCTAAACTTATGGCAATGTATTTATAAAAAGAGTAATCACATGAATATAAAGGTGGTAGTGAGCCAATTATGTCTGCAATCAGTGGAAATTGCCATCTTGGCTAAGTCTGCTCGCTGAGGTAGAATTCATGTGCTTCCGCCTTGAAAAGTTTAATCATAGAATATTATAGTCCCATTACGATTCCTCGAATCTTAAAGGCCAAAACGCAATGACATACTTATACATAAAATAGTTTCTTTACGTATTAACATGGAGGCACTTCAGCTCGAAACCGATGTTGTAGTTATGCTAAAGGTACCCCATTTCTTTCTGCGTCGAATAGGTACGAGGCTTCAGACATATTGTTAATATGATGGGCTGCTGTTAGATCGTTTAGAAAGTGCTGGTCTCATATGATTATAATACGTTATAGCACTATAGCATATAAGTCACGCACCAGCTTCAGTAAGTCCTAAGCAGGCTGTTCCTACTCAGCTCCTACTGTTGGCCCTTTTCTTTTTAACCCATTATACCCTTTTTGGCTCTATGAAATGATCGTAGGTCTCGTCTGAGATAGGGTGACCACCGTTAAACGAAGTTCCTATGTCAGTTAAACCGTCCCTGCACGACGAGAGGGGCGTAGTCAGCATAGGCACTAGACTAGCGAACTTCCGGATGGTAACAGACTTGCCGCATTACAAAAAACGGAAAAGTGAGGGAAGGGGATGAACAAAGAGACAGAACAGGTAAAAACCTAAATACAATCAAGAAGGGTTGTCATAATCTCGACATCTTCGACATTCCTCGACGTTAAGTGTGCTACGATGAGATTCATTCCTCCCCCGCTTCCGGATGCCTCGTTATCGTTTTCTTAGTTTGTCCTCGATGGTCTGCAAGTTTTCCCTAATGAAAGTGGAAAGTTCCTCAACAAAGCGGATACTACAAAAAGGACTTCGAAATTGCGGTGGTGCGACAAAGATAGTGTGACAATATAAAGCCGACAGGGGCACACAGTGGTATAGGATCCATTATTTTTCAATACTTGACAAATGAGCTACAAAGGTTGCAGCTGTCTATATTAGCACACAAGCCTCATGCCTTCAGGGATCCTTACGGAGCTTGGGCATCAGTTCTTCACGAGCTAATAATCTCTATGGTTTCTACGGCCCAAGTCCCTCCTGCTTCGTGCTTATTGACTAAGGGTAGAGTCGGCTCTCCGATGTATATACTGCGTACGTCTTACGTCGTCTGTAAAGGCAATGATCCAAGCTATTTAAATGACCTCAAGTAAATCAGATATGGTAGTTGGTATAATAAACAGAAGTTTGAAGTCTCCAAGCTCAAACGAACGAGCAAATGTACAGACCTGTTGGATTGAACGCGTACTGTAAACGAAAAGTCTCAACCAAGTCAATAACGACGTACCATGAAAATAGAAAAAGAGCACGATCAGAAAGAAGAAATAATAGCTTAGTAGAAAGTATGTATTGAGTACTGGACCAGATGGCTGGTTTTACTTAGCCGTGATGCTCAAAAAGATGTTGCAGGGAATTTAAAGGGGCTTAAGCTGAAGAGGTACGGCCCAACGCGGGTGTATGATGAGGCGTTTTATCAAAAACGAAGCAATGCAGGCTATGCAAAGACGGGCCGATTAACCCATTGTGACACGACACCGATCAGCGATGACGAACTAAGTGTCATCGCCGTTAACTTTTCGTTGGCCTTATTCATTGCAGATAATCATGCTCGTGGTCGCAGTTGTTCTTACCTAAAATCACCACTACACCAGGTTGGCGCCACCCACGCTTGGCTTCGATATAGAGCACTTGTTTGCTCCTTCGTTCCCTCAGTTTTCTAACCCTGTTCATCAATCGCCCCATGCCTTGGTATCATTTACCTCGTTTCCTTTTATAACTGCGATTGGAGCCCATTTACTGGCGCTTATTTCGACGGCTGGTCTATCAGCGAGCATCTTAGCGAATGGAGTCTTTATCGGGACTAGTGAGCTGACTGTTGGTAGCACTGCTTCTTTAATCAAGTCAAACAGGCCTCTATTCCCAGGGCACATTCGAAACGTACCTGAACTATGAATCAATTTTATGTAATCTTGTCATTTATTTCCTAATTAGCTTGCCGTCACCTTAGAATACGTTAGGAAACGTTCGAAATCATACCTCTTTCTGAGAAGACATGTGGCATTACTTTTCTAACCTCATACGGTTAGCTAGCCAATGGAACTCTCACGATAGAGCACGGCGAAAGCTCTAAGGGGCCAATCTTTCGTTACTATAAAAGCCGTAAAGGCCTCACAGCTAACGGATATATATTACATTGTTGTACTTTCTCCATAGGCGACTTTCAGCATACAGATTTTCTGCGAAAATAACGAAGGATTAGTACAAGAGATCCACTCACTTAACTCGTCTTTGACAACTTCAAAATCGTTTTTCAATACCCGAACAAGCGACGTGATAATAATCCGGCTGTACGCCGTTGAGAGGCACATTTCACATGGTACCGAGAGAAGTGCCGGGCACATTATAAGATAAGCCAACGCCGCTATAATAGATTCTCACGCAATCGGGCGATCAAGTGCAATCCGTTGGATAGCCATCCCTGTCTCCCATGTCCAGTTTGACTCAATTGAACCACGCAGGAAAGCAGACCGATTGTACTGCAGTTGTATGATGGATCCCTTTTGAAAACCAAAGCAATCGTAGGAAAACCACTACAGTGTTACACATCGCATAAGTCGTTCTCGGGTCCCTGCATTTTGCGGGCCAAGTTGATTCTATATATCGAAGTGTTTCCCACCTAGCAACCGTCGACCAGCATTCAAGTTAGATAACATTGTGCTTTCGAGAATAGGGCGAGCTAGAAGCTTTCTGTTAATATGTTGGTAAGGAAAAAACAAACTAGGGTAGTTACAAAGATACGCGATACAGACAGCTGCGAAATGATCAGGAACCCATCAGGTCTTATAGACTCCCTTACCCATAAAGGTGAAGGAGGAGGCGATAACAAACAATGGAACAAACGGCAACGGGGGACGGCTATCAATGCCGTCTTGCCGACATTTGGACTGCAACGGCCGTAGACTCGTAAAGACACGGCAAGGCTACGTACGCTTCTACGATGAACGTACTCGATGCATATATAGTGAGTACGCATCGAAAAACGTAAGCTATAGGATACACCAGCATTTACCTTGTGTGAACGAATTCCGTTAACGTTACACCAAGCCTAATATACATCATAGTTCAATTACAGATATTCACTATTCGGTTCTGATTCTCCTGAGATCCTGCAGTACCAATTGCGTTATCCTGTCACGGTACTTCTATATCCTTCGTCAGCATTTGTTGCGTTGCAGGTAACCAGCCCTAAGTACTCCGTACCTCCCATCGGAAGGTTTCACTAGTTTTACTACCGCACTGTTATTATTTACCTGTTATAATGTTTGATCTCTGCTAAACTCGATCCCTAGCATAGATTATTCCTCGATTACAGGCTGACACCTTAATAGGCGTCATGCTCTCTCGTAAAACCCTATTGTATTAATCTTTATATCTTATTCAATTACGGTACCCGTAAGTCCTCGAATTTTCACTCTCGTCCCAGGACTCTATTATCTGACAGAAATGTGTGATCGCTCTAATGAAAAATGGATTACTTGGCTTGAACGAATGTCCCAATAACGTTGTTATTTTACCCTATTTAATCCAACATTTCAAAATCTTAGGTAAATTTTACTTTTACTTCTATGTTAATCTCAACCGTGGCGCGGAGACAAATCTTATCTAATTTTTACGATTATTACGGTAACGATTCTTTGTTACTGTATGTATTCTATTTTCCTACGCCTCGGAAAGAAGTTTTCATACGGTAAAAATATGTGAAATTCCGAAACAATTTATACTTCATCAATAATTTCGTAAATTAACCGAAGTCAGATCAGGAGAAGTAGAGTGTCTGCACACTCAGTGAATCTGAACTGTGACGCTTCATATGGTACTAACTGTGAACGATCTGGGTAAAAATCATTATTCTGCTGGTACATCAGAGACTTCAAAATATAAAAATTATACTCCAAACCAAACCTGTGTGCGTATTGTTATTATTATTATTATATATATTTTAGAGCCTCAAAAAAAATAAAGAAAACAAAAATCAATCGAAAGATTCTACAAACCCTTCAGCGTTGCCGAGTAAATTATCAAGAATGGGTCAGTTAGCCCTAATTAATAGTATTTTCTATATAAACTCCTCCCGAGGGAAAAGTAGTCATTTATTCGGGAAACGATATATACTGAGGTCATTTGGTTCGCAAATTAGCATTGTTCCCTTTCAGAAAGGACAAAATATTCGCTTTTCACGGTCAGAAAATAAACTGGGATTGTTCCTACTTCATCAATCAACATTTCCGATCAATTCCGGTAAAAAAATCATTCCTTTTGTAACTAAATCACGAAAAGGGGAAGAATAACACTGTATGGACCTGATAAAAAAACAACGAACCTTTCAACACAAACCCTTCACAAATACGCAACGATAAATATGGAACATGTTAGATAGACTTTAGATGGATGAATACGTTTCATTGGACAGGTAATACCTAGTCAACTTGATTCAGCCATCGTTATATGAATGCGCTAGCTTCAGAAAATATCGAAAAAGGATACTATATAATATAATACATTCAATGCATCTGTTGCAGTCCCCCGTTACGGATCAGCCCGGTGTATCTCCTTTGGACGAGAAGGATAGCTTTCTGTTGAACGCATCTGCATGAAAAGCTCCTACCTACGTACATCGATATACTCCTATACTACTAATAACAATAATAATATAAATACGTTTTTATACGTCTTTCGTATCGAAAAAAATGACCTATGCATCCTCGTTATGGCTTCGGTTGGCTAACGGGTACAGTTCGGCCTTCGTTTTTCCGTCACGCATAAGCAATAGTGTTTTACTCTTAGATCTTTTTGATCGCGTCTGTAGTTTTTTCTCTGCCGTGTCTTGTAATTTGCAACTCTCCCCTCGGATGGCCTTCCTTGCTCCGGCGCTAGCGAACAATATACACGCCAACGGATGTACATGTCTGTAGGTGTGCAATGCTTATGAAAGGATGCTGAATGTCTAGCAAGTAGGTACGCAGCGGTGTCAAGATCTGTTCTGTATGTCTGTGATGGCCCGTGGTGGACCATTTCTCGTCGCCGTGACAGAGACTGCTGTTGCCGCAAGAACACATGAACGAGCGTGGCTTTTTTCTGTAGCCAGCGGCTACCCGGCCGCTCTGCCAGCTACAACGTACCCTTACAGCGTGCAGTGTGACAACAGACAATGGCAGCAGTAGCAAAAGTACCATAGCGAATTCCCGGGGACAGCCAAGCTCCACTCAGAACAAGACCCTGGGAAATGTGCTTTGATCGAAAGCGACACGAATCAACTCATCGGGAATCAATATGTCCCGATGGTCCAATCTCCATCTTTTGGCAGAACGGAACGGGGTGCAACGGAATAACATCGGTCCAGCGCGATCTATCCCACTGTTACTGCTGTTATTGCTGGAACAACCAACACACCACAAGGTCAGCACGATACCAGCCAATGATTCAAGGCGAGAAATTTTTCTATTTTTAGCCCACTGAAAAGATTGTTCTACTGTTTTATGGTGCGTATATTTGTAGAAGACAAGAATGATGCTGTACCATAATGCCATTCCTATCAGAAGGTCGGATCATGAATTTGGTCAAATAGACAGTTGTATTGTACGGTAGGCCGAACTTCGGTTTCAAATCGGTCTCTAATCTGATAGAAGTCTGATGTTCCATACGATCGTCTATGTGAATTCGGTTCCATCGAACGACCCCAAAACCTTAAAAACAAATGTCGGATGTGCTGGGCGACCAACGACGCTTTCAATTGTGCCCAACTTTCATGGTCTTTGATATTACTCTGATAGCGCCCTTGTTAGTTTGTACGTTCGAGATATTTGTTTCCCAATGCATATTGCACTATAGACTATACTTCTCAGCTAATTAGCTGTATGATAAGGTATTATGTACCGGGTAGTGCAGCCATTCGGTTGTACTCTGCAAAGAATTTAGTTTTCTACGATAGTTCTATGCAGTTCTTTTTAAGGGATAGCTAGGTCAAAAGAATCAAATAAGCCAAAAATGCAAACAAGCTAGAACGTTTTGTTGTTACAGTTGTAGTATGAAATCTTTTTAAAAAATCCCGGACCCCGGGGCTCCCCCTAATCTTGGAGATTTGGTTAGTTGTGCTCTAAACAGTTTTTAGCTGCTTAAGGTTCCTCTACTAAAATTTAGTCAAATAATGGAATTCGAACTTTCCGCCAGCCAATAACGACTGCGTTCTCACGATTCGAATGTTAAGGATGAGTAAATACAAGAGAGGAACCACCGTCGACCATTACTGCAAGGCGTACCTCACCAGTAGTAACTGAAGTGTTTGGTCTTATATACCCTGTCGCTAAGTTACGAGGAAATTACTGCAGCCAGCGTCTTGAAAGATAATACTAACATTACTAGTTATTTTTGGTATTATTATATAATCATCTATAGATTAGCACGGCAGTAGCAAGGCCCTTTTGACTGTAAAAAGGTTTCAGGCTGAACCTACCTGACTATAACACACGTGCCTGCCGCGACCAAGTACGGACATTCGTTGCGAAACTTTGCACTCACATTAATGGTTTACTTCTTCGTAACGCATAATAATAGATAAATTGATTTCGGCACAGTAGACCGATAGAACGCCTCTCTGTCGCGGAAGATCTGGTTTATTTCATGTAATACTAAATAATAATAATAATATTAGAATTAAGCACTGGCGTAACTCGAGGCGTGCCTAATCTCACCATGGTGACGGACCATGGTCTTCTTCGCTTGCAGTCATTCGCATCATCACGCCGTGCTTGGAAAGCACGTAGGCTGCAAGCCTGTGCTATCATATCGCATAAGTGGTTTAACTAACCCATATATGATGAACCCATATAACAGAATATGTGATAATATAGTCGATAGTCTGTATCATAATGTGTTGTATTTGTATCGCACGGCCAGTTTCTTACAGAGGTAACTTAGATTTTCGATCGGATACCGCTATCCGTGACGGCCAATGACGAAGACAATAATTACGATTACGCCATGAAATGGTCCAGTGTTGATCATTTTTACCGACTCTGGTTCATTGTTTTTATCCGGTTCACACCTTTCCAGTTATGGAAAGCTCAATACATTTTAAGACAAAGTCCTAAGTCAGGCATATCGAATATAAGTGATGATATTAAACGAACTTGTAGGACACAGCTGTTGAACCATGTCTAATAATAATAACCCTGTTCAACCGTTCTGGCTAACATCTATTTGATTCAAAAACATAATCCTTCGGCGAAAACATAACATCACGCGTTAAAAAGCACATGTTCCTTTAAAACATGTCGTTCCACGGCTTCGTGATGCGTTTCTATGGGCAATGCGACGTTCCTATCGAACGGCCCATAGCGCACGTACGGACACACGGTGGCCAATTAGCTCAGAAAAGGAGTAAATAAATAGGTTGGATTCCCCGAAACAACAAATGCGAGATTGCCGTCCCAGCAGCCCTCAATTGCACCAGGCCATAGAGTATGCTTTGGCCTATTTACAGCGGGCTTATACACTATCTTTTCTCCCGTCCCGCACCATGTTTTCTTTTGGTGTCAGTAGAAGAAGCGTTTATCCGCCTACAGTTAACGTATGTGCTCAGAGTCCGGCAAGCAAACACCTTATTTTTGGAGTTGGTTTCCCCATGACTCCGAACCTCTCATGGGTCCACCGTTCTTGGTGCTGCAAATGACAATCCGTAACAGATCAAAACTGTCCCAAAGATTCCGAAACTCAACGAAACACATCTTTTTCTATGTGCTATACTTTGCCTGCCAGGTGAAAGAACGGCCTTTACTTCTAAACTGCTGGTTAAGTTTAGGCTCACATTGACTCAAGGTGGAACGATCCGGCGCAGCCCGATCGATCGTTTTCCTTGACTTTTTGATACAGTTTTTTTCCAAGAGGATCGAATCATCGACAAATAGGCAAGGCATATAGATGCATTTATGCGCGTGCATGAAGCAACTCGGTGCCACGTTAACGATCGATAGAGAAGTTCTATTTTAAAATATAACCCAAATAAACGGTGGAGGCAAACGATCGGAGAGGAAGGTCACACGTGCGTGAACCCCATATCCGGACGGCGACAAGCCATCGGCCGACTTGAACAAACAGTGGAATGGAGAACTTTTTAAAAAGAAGCGTTAGTTGGTATTTAACCGGCTCGTTCGTCTAAACCTTAGTAGCCTCCCATTCTCTTCTTTATTTCTGGGCAAGATTTTTTAGAAATTCAAGAGAGCTTTAATAAGTACGTCAATCATATTCTATTATGACAAGTGAACACGCAGCAGACACAGCGGAGCGATATGTAGGTAATTCCACCAGCAATCGAGGCAATAGTAAACGAGCGAATGGTGATTCCTTTCTTCGTCGTGAGCCGCTGACGCTGCTCAGTCTTACTCGGCCTTGGCCTGTTTCTCCTAATAGAAATACAGGCAAAGGAAGTGGACTGTGGTACGCTACGGTGCTGCTGTTGTTGTAGCCTGGCCAACTCGGACCAGCTTCACGATATCCTTTTAGCTCGCCATAAATGCTACTATTACTATAACCTATGCAGCAGTTGCCTTACTCGATAGTAGTGGAGTAACGCATCAAGAATAGACACAGGTGCGGCGACGGCAGGCTTCATCAAGATTTGAACATCATGGCTGATGGGAGAGGTCCTTAGGGGGCGGCTGGAAGATTTTTACAGGTTGATCTTAATTGGTCGATTAGGCGCAGGCGACTGGCTCATCGTACGCAGATTGAGCCAGCTGAGAACAGTACGAGAAGTACTTATAATAGTCACAGCAGTCAATCGAAAGCCAATGGTAGCGTATGCCGCTATTGCCTTTTTTCCCTGTGA